CAGAAATATTAACCATAAAATTAGAAAATTTTACAATCGAATAATGTAAAAATAAATTCGCATAAAAAATTATTTTTCCTCCTTTAAGTGAATACACTCATTTTAGGGTATTTCATCAAGAAATTTGTCATCGGGCATGCACGCTCCTCTACACGCCACTGTTTCAAAGTAAATATCGGTACATAAGCTTTTGAAGTGAAAACATTTAATCATGCACCTACCGCTATAACAATCCATACGATTTTTCTATACTTCTTATGCCATGGTGGGTCGGTGTTTCCTTCGATGACCTCATAACGATCTATTTTTTTATCTACCAGTTCCATTGTCACGGTTAAAAAAAATCACTTCATTCTTTTTGAATATGAAACAAAAAGTAAAATCGTTTTCACCACGAAAGCGACCTCGCCGATGCAGAAATTATAAATAAACGTAGCGAAGGTCATGAAGATAGTACTGTTTACATTTCACCATTTGGCGACGAATAATTCGTATCTCTGCTGGAAATCTGTTGACACAGAGGAGAATTAAATAGACATTTTGAGAAAATATCGTAAAAGAATAAATATAATATCGCCAACAGTTAGTTTTCTTTCACTGATTGAGCAGACGAAGATTAATCATGACCAAGTTACATTAAGTAGGCCTAATTATAAATAGTTTAACTAATTCAATTCGTAAATGAATTTTTTTAAATTGTTTGAACTAAAGTGGAGTAATGTTGTTGGGTTTCGCAAATTAAGCTCGTTGTTTCTAATATAATATAAAATTTATCAACAAAAAAAAATGAGATAAAATTGGAATTTCAAAAACTTATAAACTATTGTTATGGAATAATTAATTACCTAAAAAGTGTATTGATATTACTTTCCTTATTCAAAAAAAAAAAAATTAAAATTGAAAAATAGAATATAATTTTAAAAATATGCGATATAGAAATCTTTTGCTTAGAAACGTTGAAAAGTTTTTTCAGTTTAAATTATTTTATATTTAACAAAACAATGTTTATTAAGATGTATTGACAAGATAGACATAGTTCGGAAGCAATATTTTGTAATTTACACAGTACTTTAAATATACCTTAACAGCATTGTTTCATTTAAAAAACATTGTTTCATTTAAAAAACATGAGTGAAATACTTTTTACACTTTAGCATTTTTGTTTTTTTTTGCACTAAATTTTAACGGTGCATTAACTTTATATGATAAAAGATTTGATTTTTAATATTTTAGAATAGGATTTGTACATTTAATGATTTAGAATAGGAAGTCCAAGAAATAGGATTTGTTTCTACATGAGCTCGAATACATTGTTAAGTAAATTCGAGATGATAATAAGTGCTCAGAAATAGGAAAAAATCGAATACCACGCAACCCACGAAAGAGAGTATTAGTTGTATTAAATTTCTTTTAATGAAAAATTACAGCAAAAATCGAAAGTAAATATGCCACAAAACTTAATATTTTACTCATAAAATTACTCGTAATTTTTATCTGTTCTGATGCTGTAATTATGAACTTGATTGCAAATGAAGGATGTTTCTTGTAGTTGTATTAATACACATACGTATGCAGTCTTGTGTGCTCATTACATAGTACAGTTTATAAGCCCTTGTCAAGCTGAAGAACTAAGTACGCAAATTAGAAAAGGTGTGGCAAAATTCGAACTCAACTCAATTGTCCTAAAGTGAACATGGCTCCCAATCGATCACCAAAGTTAAGCATCACTGAATGCGGACAGTAAGTGGAGAGTTACCACTTTGATCAGCCTGCGAAGGAGCCATGAGTGCTCAGTATCGGCTGTTGTTAAACGGTTTTATCGTATAATGTGCTCGACTTTGCGTGCAAGTCGTCGGGCTACAAAAGCGTGGGAGCCATCCCACTCGTTCAATGTACGCAGTCAGTGATTCCGACTTCGGTGATTTACTGGGAACCATGTCTTACGATCAGTCGTTCATTGTGAGAACTGGATTAACACGTTGACATAATATTTCCCTACGGTATTAACGACGAAAGATGTGATTGGTGCTACATTCGTGGTTACATATTTCTTACGCCAATTTTTTGCGTACTAAGTACCATACTTAATTTTTTAAAATTTAATCTCAAGTATTCGCAAACTATTAATTAAACACAAAAAAGCACTTTTTGTGTATAAACATACCATTTGTTCTGTGGATTTATATTCTTGATATCTAAGTAATGAAGGGGCCCCGCAATACGATAAAAGCATGGTCCCAATAATTTGAACAGGAACTCGGTTGAAAATTTGGTTGATTAATATCAATTTTACTTTTTATAAATAATACCATATTTCGGAAACATTTAAAAAAAACGAAAATCTTTTCTTTTGCACAATTACACAACTTCTCTATCTAGAGACAATTCAATGCAAAAAAAAAAATTTTTAATCATTTGGTAATTAGAAATTACTTTTAGTATTATCATTTAAAACTATTTAAGTCCTATTTGATAAATACTTTGATTGATGCTACTTTTTGCATAGTTTCAAACTATCCAATTTTAAAGGAAAAAATCAAAATTTGAACAAAATTGGTCAAATAATTCTTGAGAAAAAAAAAAATTTAAAATGTGAAGTTTTTGAATTTTTTATCTCGGAAAATATTCAACCAATTTCTTTCAAGTTTTGTCATTAAAATTACCTAATTTAAAATTATGCAGAAATTCGTATATTTAATAAATAAGACATTTTTCGATCATTAAAAAATTATCAAAGAAGTAATAAATAACAATCAAAAGTAGGTCTTTTGGAAGAAACATCCTTGATAAACAAGTTTTATAATTTTGAAGAAAAAAAAATTGATCCAATTTAAAAGTTCCCGGATTTGACGAAATATGCAAAACGTAAACCGATCTCCTTATTTAAGAACACATTTTCCTAATTTCGGCTATCCCCCCCCCCACTATATTTTACGAATCCGAATTGAAATACAGCGAAAAAAAAGGTATGCTTATTCCAAGAAAAAAGAACGTTTTTGTGTTTATTTTCGTTACTTAATTAACAATGAGCACTAATTAAGTAAAATAATTAAGGTCATACCTTCAAATCATTAAGATAGATTTTTAGTACGTAAAAATCCTATCATTAGAGCTTAAGTTATACTTGGGGATATCCTTTTTTTCACCTTCCTGTAAAATTTGAATACTCGGGGACAAAAAATAAATAACATGATATAAAAGACTTTTGACCAAAAAAGAAAATATCGATGAATATTAGTATACGATGAAAAATAATTATTGCAAACAAAAATGAGTATATCAATTGCATTCGAATCGTGAACTTTTCTAAGAGAAGTTATTAAGTCGTTTTAAAAACTTCACATTCATGAAATTATTATTCATGAAATAATTTTTTTAAACTATAAATAAATAATCTAATCTGTTAGTATATCTAATCTTTTAGATTTATAAGAAAGTTCTTTTAAAAAAAATTAATTTAAAAAAAAAGAGAAAATATATTGCAAAAATTCTGAAGTTTAAAGAAATTACGTGATTATACTTTTTCTCACGACGCTATACCTAACGCAATACGTGAGTCATGCCAATGAGTAATATTTCAGTAATTTCAGTCATAACATTTTATAAATGTAAATCTCCCTGAAATATCTTTACATTAAACGTGGGCGTATAAGAATTCGATTCATTTTTATTAAAAAAAAACTGTATAATAAATTACAATTTCTGATTGTCATAAATTTAATGTAAAAATTACAATTTTTTTACTGTCGCTGATATGCCCTTATGTTTTTACCACAATTTTTTTTCTTTCAGTTTTTACAGATCCTTTGAATATTTTTATCCCTACTTATTGCCGATTGCTACTTGAAGGGGGGTGGATTTAGGATTTAATTGATTGAAAAAATTTTTAAAAAAATTCCCAGCGTAGTAATTTGTGAATATTTAGAGAGAGCTTTTTATGTAATCTTAAGAAAAAAATTAGTTTTCTTTTTTTTCTTGATACGATCTCTAATTAGGCATTGCAAGTTACACTTACTAAAAACGTTATGAAAATACTAGTTAAGAGAATTCTTAAATTCTATTTGAAAGTCCAATATTTTGAAAACATTAAATTAAATTAAATTCAAAAAATGTTCAAATTTTAATGCAAAATGCTTTGTTATAAGTTACTGACAGATAACAGATAAATGCTAAAACTTTTCAACAGGTAAATGCTTGGCTCTTGAAACTTTTTTAAGAAGAATATTATAATTTTAATAAAAAACAATTAATAAATATCGAAGTTTTAGGATACTAACATACTACACAGAAATATTAACCATAAAATTAGAAAATTTTACAATCGAATAATGTAAAAATAAATTCGCATAAAAAATTATTTTTCCTCCTTTAAGTGAATACACTCATTTTAGGGTATTTCATCAAGAAATTTGTCATCGGGCATGCACGCTCCTCTACACGCCACTGTTTCAAAGTAAATATCGGTACATAAGCTTTTGAAGTGAAAACATTTAATCATGCACCTACCGCTATAACAATCCATACGATTTTTCTATACTTCTTATGCCATGGTGGGTCGGTGTTTCCTTCGATGACCTCATAACGATCTATTTTTTTATCTACCAGTTCCATTGTCACGGTTAAAAAAAATCACTTCATTCTTTTTGAATATGAAACAAAAAGTAAAATCGTTTTCACCACGAAAGCGACCTCGCCGATGCAGAAATTATAAATAAACGTAGCGAAGGTCATGAAGATAGTACTGTTTACATTTCACCATTTGGCGACGAATAATTCGTATCTCTGCTGGAAATCTGTTGACACAGAGGAGAATTAAATAGACATTTTGAGAAAATATCGTAAAAGAATAAATATAATATCGCCAACAGTTAGTTTTCTTTCACTGATTGAGCAGACGAAGATTAATCATGACCAAGTTACATTAAGTAGGCCTAATTATAAATAGTTTAACTAATTCAATTCGTAAATGAATTTTTTTAAATTGTTTGAACTAAAGTGGAGTAATGTTGTTGGGTTTCGCAAATTAAGCTCGTTGTTTCTAATATAATATAAAATTTATCAACAAAAAAAAATGAGATAAAATTGGAATTTCAAAAACTTATAAACTATTGTTATGGAATAATTAATTACCTAAAAAGTGTATTGATATTACTTTCCTTATTCAAAAAAAAAAAAATTAAAATTGAAAAATAGAATATAATTTTAAAAATATGCGATATAGAAATCTTTTGCTTAGAAACGTTGAAAAGTTTTTTCAGTTTAAATTATTTTTTATTTAACAAAACAATGTTTATTAAGATGTATTGACAAGATAGACATAGTTCGGAAGCAATATTTTGTAATTTACACAGTACTTTAAATATACCTTAACAGCATTGTTTCATTTAAAAAACATTGTTTCATTTAAAAAACATGAGTGAAATACTTTTTACACTTTAGCATTTTTGTTTTTTTTTTGCACTTAATTTTAACGGTGCATTAACTTTATATGATAAAAGATTTGATTTTTAATATTTTAGAATAGGATTTGTACATTTAATGATTTAGAATAGGAAGTCCAAGAAATAGGATTTGTTTCTACATGAGCTCGAATACATTGTTAAGTAAATTCGAGATGATAATAAGTGCTCAGAAATAGGAAAAAATCGAATACCACGCAACCCACGA